CAGAGCAAGAGGAGCTGGACCCTCACTGCAGGAAGGAAGACACACAGGTCTGGCCATCCCACAGGGCAGGCTCCACTTCTGGCAGCTCTCCTGTGGAAATCACACGTAAACGCACAGAGACCAGGCTACATCTCCTCCCAGCTTCGTGTGTGGCCCTGAAAAGCTCTGTGCAGCACAGAGGCTGCTTAGCTAAGTAAGTTTTACCTCGTGCACACAGTGAGAAGCTCCACAGCCCCCCAAACTGCAGAGATGTCCATGGAAGGTGTTTATGATCGCTGGTGAAGTGGAAAAAACAGGTCACAAAGCAGAGAACATTGTAAAATCCCCTTCTGATTAAAAAAAAAAAAAAATCACACATCTGAGAAGCGTAGGGACCTCTGGGAGGAGAGGCAGGAAGGTGCTAAGAGCCCACCTCGGGGGAGATGGGGAATAGGTCTTGCTCTGTCTTGTCTGAGCGTCTGGATTTTATAACACACATGTGTTTGGTCTGCATTCAGAATAATTAAATATCACATGGGAGAAAGGACAAGAAATCAATCCCAGGGACAACTGGAAGCACCACTGGCTACCCAAGCAAAAGAGCATGACAGGCGGGGCCAACAGGCGGGGGATGCGGGGTGTGGGGATGCGGGGACTGTGGGGGGGTAAGGCTGTAGCCTCCTGCTGCTCCCAATCTCCGCTGTAGTGGGGTCACACTCTACAAAGCCCCTTTCATTGGCCTCCATTTACATATTTCAAAGCACCTTCCTGTTTCATCTTGGTCTTCTTAATACTCTTGTAAGGTATTATTAGAGCCCCGTCTTATAAATTTAAAACATGAGACTTAGAGTGAGAACCTAGATAAGGTACCTAGAAATCACAGAATAAAATCAGAATGGAACAGCAGGTTACCTGACACCAGAGTCTCATCTCCCAGGGAGCAGAGCAGCCCCACCAGCCCTGACCAGGTGGGCTGAGGCGTGTTTGGTCCCTTTATCACAGCAGAGCTACTTAGAAAGGCCATCTCCAGAGGCCACGCCATTTCCAGCTCTCACTGTCCTGACTGCACAATTCACCTTATGTCCCAGCACAAACGGTGGCCCTCTTTCTTTCTACTGCTCCCAGCCTCCTGTCTTGGGGGAACAACATCTGTGGTCACTTGGTATCCCAGAAATTCCCTGAGCCTTATCCCAGAGTCAGCCCTCCACTCGCCAGGTTAACCCAACCTGCCAGACACCGAGGAGCTTCTCACTCTTCCGCCTGTCCTCATTTCTCTACTCAGGTCTAAGAGATGGTGAGAGGGAGAGAAGGGGAGGAGGTGGCCTCAGCTCCGGGACAGTGAGCACGTGGGTCTGTGCAGGTGCGCCCCGAGGCTATCAGGGGACGGCTGAGTGGCCCAATAGGTGCTCAGCATCTCACACACAGGTACAGAAAGCACGTCCAACCGTGACCAGCCAGGAGCCATGGCTCCCAGATCGCCCCACCCACAAGACAGGCATCTGGGCAGAAATCCAAGCAGGGGAACCTGTAAAATGCCATCAGTAACTAAGCACCAACTATGTGACAGACACTGGGTTGGGTCCCAAGGACAGCAAACGCGTGAGAGGAAAGTCTTCCTTTACAGGAGCTCACAGACAGGCAGGCACATCTGGTGATGCTACGACCAATTCTCTACGTTTCTCAAACAATCCTAATCCACTATGCCAAGATGGCACCAGATACGGGCATCTGTGAATGGGTGAGTCCCAGGTGGCTTCAGAGAAGACAGGACACAGAACTTAAAAAAACAGAACTTCCAGGAAGAAAATCAGCCAAGAGTGTGGAACCGAGGTGAAGGCATCAGGGGGTGGCCTGAGAACGGGGAGCAGGTACGAATCCAGGGCATTCTCTGGAGACCTGGATGCATTTTGCCTGAGGAAGCTGTGCATGGCTGAGGGAGACCAGCCCACATTCCAACAGGACAGAGTGACTGAGATCTGGGCTCAGTGCTGAACACGCTCCATTCAGCTCGAGTCCTCCCTGCCACTCACAGAGTGGCACAGGCTCTCAACTAGCTTCCCAGGACAAGTTCTGGTTTGACCTCTTCTTGCTCTAGACCCCCGCCAAGGTTCTCTAACTTCCCTCTAACTTGCCTCAGTATCCTTGTCAGCAAAACAGAAAGCATAATGGTGTTCACACTGTAGGGCAGCTGTGAGGCCTGAACGGGAAACCCAAAGAGGACGCAGTGCAGGGCACAGGAATCTCAGTGCACTCGGTCACTGAGGTCACTGGTAACTTCACCAGGTCTCCTTCTTTCATCTGTAAGCTTGGAGTTTGGAGAAGTAAAAGACAGTAAAGTCCCGCCTGGTGCTGGCCCACAGAAGTTAACTGAAGGGTACTGGCTTCTGACTCCCAGCAAGCAATGGCCAACTCCCTTCCACTCAGAAGAGCAGATGTGTGGAAGCCATGGCATTTCCAGGCTGTCACGAGCCATCCATGGGCTGTGTGTGGACTGTTGCGCATAGTAGCCAAGTGAGGGGATAGGTCTGGCATTGCCAACTCCCTGTAGCACCCCCTCGGGGATTGATCACTTGATGCAGGTAAACCTTCCCCTCAAGCTCTGCCTAAGATCCCACACAGCACCTGAGATGGGAGTGACCTGCAAAGATACCAATCAATCTGCTGACCACAAGACACCATGAAGCAAGACCTCGCCCTTGAATCCCTATCCCTGTTATAAAATAAATCAAACGCAGGCTCATACTCCAGCCTATAAGCTTGACCCTGAAAGTCAAAGACCCATCCTGCCCTGCTTTCTGGATACTGCTTTCTGTGCCATGTGATTTTTCACAACCACCTTCTTAGCTTAATGTTGCAGCCAGCCTGTTTAAACCCAGCTTGTCCCATCTGCGCAGGCTCTGGCTAAAACCTTGGTCATGGTCATGTTTCATGTCAGCCTTTGGATCACCATGAAAAGGTCCAGGTGGACCTAGAAAGCCTGCAGGTCAGTCCTACTGCTTGGAGCACTGCAAGGCAGCATGGGGAGGGCCAGAGCTGGGGACATCCCACTCAAGGGGCAGCTGCCCCGCAACCCCAATGGTCTGGCCATGGGGGTGGACAGGATAGCTCTCCCTTCTTTCCAAAGAAACTAGAAAAACAAATATTTAAGCAGAATGAAGGGGCTCAATGTTGAAATGCTAATTTACAAGTGTGGGGAACCTGAGCTAATAATGAACAGCCTGCCTGGGCAGCCACCGGCCACGGCACTCCTTCTGCTTTAAGGTGCTTTATACATCAGCAGACATGGGCTCTCTTGCCAACTGTCTCTCCTTGAAAATTCTCTGGAACCTTGGCGAAGAAACAGCCAAGACTGAAGGTCTCTTAAGCCCTCAGAGAGTTCACCTGTCTTTGGGCGTCTCCGTCAACTGGGCTGGCAAGTCCAGGGTTGTTATGAGTCACTCCTACGGCCCCCTCCCACAACACACTCATCTATTAAGCTACCGTCTCATCATGCCTGCTGTGTGCCAGCTGCCTTTCAGCACTGCATGTGTACTCTCTCACACGGTCCTGATGACCTGGTGAGACCTCTATGTGGAGAGACTGAGGAACAAAAGAATTTGCACAAGGACACCAGACCAGCGCGTGCCCCAGGTGGGAGCTGGACCCAGGCTGGCAGGCAGTTCAGCTGGTCTTCCTCCACTCTACACTGCCCTAGCTGCCAACCAGGCTCTCAGGGGCCTGGAGCTTCCAAGGCTGCTGTCCACTTTCTCTAAACGAGTGGCCATCCCCCCTTCCTGCACACATGTGACTCTACTCACATCTCCAGAGCTCAGAAACTAGCCAGACCTGGACACCTCTTGAGCCAGCCAGTGTTCCAAGAGCCAACTGTCACACTCATAGCTGGAGGGCCACTGTTAACCAATGTCACCAGGGCAGACTTGGGGACCAAGTCTCCTTTCCCACCTTGCATGGCAGCCAAAAGACTGAGCTGGCACTGTCACCAGCAGACAGCCTGCCTCCAGCCTCCTATGTCTGGGCCAATGCAAAGACCGGAGCTCAGGCCTCCAAGCCACCTCCATCCTCCACCAATGACCCAGCTGCTGGGTCACAAAGCCAACACTGCACAGGACACCTGAGTCCCACTGGCTGGACCCCCTGGAGCCCCAACATCTTGGACAGAATGTGCTGGCAGTACTCAAGCGGCCAGCTTGCTGCTGTTCTAGAGGGTCGGGCCCAGGGCCCAGGCCCCTGTATAAGCCACAGGCAGTCACAATGCACAGTCAGGACTGCAGGAGCAGGAGGCAGGGGGGTCCTTCAGAGAGTGACTTCTTAGTATTGGGAAGTCCAGATCCAAGTGTCCCTGCTGAAGGCCACCTGCAAAGGTATCACCCACCCCTGGCTATTACCATTAGCTGCCTTGTTTGGGGCTGGTATCTAAAGATATTCACTGAGCACTGAGCATGTGCCGAGCACCATAAAGAGCTTTACGTACAGTATTTTACTTCATCCTGACACTAATTCTATGAAGTGAATGTGACTGCACCATTACAGAGACAGAATCGGCAGCTTAGCAACAATAATACCTGTGTCCTGCCTTTTCTTTCTGTGAGATTGCATCCTACCATGCTAGACTACAAGCTCCCTCTGACCCTTGAATAGGGACCCTGTTAATCATCAAAGGAACTGCTGTGGATTGACCTTAACTAGCCAGGGGTGACATTAATGAATAAAAAACATGGTAGAGCATGTGGGAAGTTGACCACATGACATACACTGTCCAGTTACTCAATTACCAAGAAAAGTCCCCAGTGAAGTTGCACATTAATAACCAAGAAACTCTACTGAAATGCTTCTCCTTCGTTCCCTTGAGCAATAATCAAAGAACTCAAGCTCTGAGGAAACAGAGTGTTGCTGAGCTTAAAACCATCCCAAGTGCTCAGTGGGGCATCACAGGGGCCTAGCTGGGATTCTCACAGGGGACTCCTAGGAGGCTCTGCTACCCCCAGAAACTTGACACCGAGGGAAAAAGACCCAGGTCTCACCTTTGGTGGCGTAGGATTCTGCAATCATCCGCAGCCTGTACGGAGGGACAGCTGTCAGTGGCAGGTCATCAAGGCCCGCCCGGGCGTAAATGTTCAGAGCTTCTTTATAATCTCCTTCCACATAATTCAGCTTGGCCATGATCAGATTGGACTCTTGTAGGAATTCTGACTAGAAGGAAAAGGAGAGAAAAACATTTTCCTACAGTATTTTGTGGGATGCTTCCTCAGGGCCCAGCCATCTACTGCCATAAAGCCCCCCGTCCCCACATGAAAACTGGCCCATCCATGTTCACAGCATAATACCCACAACAGCCAAAAGCACGAACAACCCAAGTATCCATAAAAATGTGGTCTAGCCATAAAATAGAATATTGGTCATAATCAAAAATTAAGTACCACAATACAGAGGAAACCCCCAAACATTATTCCAAGTCAAAGATCAGCCACAAAAGGCCACATATTGTATGCCTCCATTATAGGAAACATCTAGAAGAGGCAAATCTGCAGTCAGGAAGCAAGTTGGTGTGCCAAGGGCTGGGGTCTGGGAAGTAGGAATGTCAACCGGTGGTTACATGCATAGTTCCTTGGGGTGTGCTGAAATGTTCCAGGGTATCATGGTGACAGAGTGCAAAACTTCAGGAAGATGCTAAAAACCACTGCACTGTACACTTTAAGTGGGTGAACTAAACAGCATGGGAATCATATCTCAAGGTCGTTGTGAAAACAAATAACCCAGACCCCTGTGGCTCCCCTCGGGCCCTGAGCTGCACTGGGCCCCAGAAGGAAGGAACACTTCCCTAGTAAGCACTACAGTGATGTGGGCACCTTCTCCAAACAAGAGAGGCCACTGCCTGGTGTCCTGGGGTCCTGTCCCTGGCACTGGACATGCACAGACCAAAGCCCAAATCACCCACACGGGGCTTGCCAAGTGGCTACAAGGCAGAACTTACTTTCCCATCGGGGGCAATGTTTCCCACTGAGTGATCAAGCCTGTGAAGCTGTTGCTGACAAGAGTCCTCCTTCCTGCGGCTGAGGGCTGTCGCAGGTCTGAGGGGTCACCTTCCTTTCTGTCCCCTCTCGACCCCAAGTGCCACCTCCTCTGCCTTGCCCTCCCCAGCCTCACTGGCTGGAGACAAGAGATGACCCAGCCATCTAGACTAGGAAACACATCCATCACCTCTCCTGGGCCTTCTCCTCACAGCTAAGTTGTCACGCTTGGTGGCTCTGCTCAGAGAGGCACACCCGCACTTCTCTGTCACCTGCGGCTCTGACAGGTAGGTGACAAAACACAGGAGAGCAGGCAGAGCATGGAGAAGCAGCCCTGTCTGCCAAAAGGGTCGACACTTCTTTGAAGGGAGCAGGGACACCAGACAGTGTAACGGGCCTTAGGAAGGCCACTGTGCTGAGAGCAGCGACTCTTTACTGAGCTCTGCGAGGCCCTGTGGGGGACTAAAAGCAGGGTCAGCTCCAGCACCCCTGCTTCCTCTTCTGTCTGCCTCCCTGACTACCTTCAACTCCGGGTGAGGTGCCTCACTCCTACGTGGAGGCCTGTGATCACTAAGGAGCCTTCCTCTCAACCCAGTAACACACGGGCTTAGCCTACCTCGTCCTCCTGGGAGACTGAGGCAAGAGCGGCAGCCTCCCGTTCTGTCCCCCTGAATGGTGCCTACAAGTCCCCACACATCACCCCTCCCAGAAACATAGGTCTGACAGGCGAACACACTGAAAGCAGGTGGAAGTTGCCCCCGCCAATCAGAAGGACTGCCGCAGAGCCACCTGGCAGACCGGGGCCTGAGAGCACGGCCCAGCAGACCACAGTCTGATCAACGCTGCTTAGTTAGGCACCCTCCCGCCCTCCACCCTGATTCCTCCTCCTTTAAATCCAAAGCTCCTGTCAGTGCCCCAAAGACAGGGCCAGGACACCAAGTGCCATCTGCCTTCCCAAGGTGGCCATGTGATTCGTTTCCTCTTCTGCTCTCGCCATGACCTTTGGTCCACTTGGTTTTTGGGCCGAGTGGCCAGAACTGGAGTTAGGCCTCAGGCCTAGGACGCCAGTAACAGCAGCACCGAGCATGGGAGGACAGCAGAGGACCAAGGCTGCGGAGAGGGTGTCGGAGGGGCCCAGGGAGAGGGTCCCGTGCAGGAAGTCAGAGCGCCACCTGGAGACAGACTTGAGAAGGCGAAAAGCTTTGAAAAAAGCACCCACCGCAGGGCAAAGCAGCTCCAGGGCTGGGTACTTCAGAGAGTTTCCTAGGAGACTCTGGAGTCCCCCTCCTTCCCCAGCTCTCCACACCTGAACCCTCGCTTTAGCCAATTGAAGGGAGAATAGGAGCTGGTGCCAAATGGGGTCAGAGGTTCATCCAGAAAGGTGACAGAGTCCTGGGGGTGAGTGGTCATGATGATGCACATAACACCCCTGAGCTGTGCACTGACGGTGGTTCAAACGGTCCATTTTACGTTAAGTAAAAGTAAGTCTAAAAAAAGGAAACTGTAGAGCCCCATGGAAAATCTGCTTGGAGAAACTCATAGTCCAGAGGCACAGGATGGACACCCCAGGAGGGTCTTGCCAGGAGAGCTTGCCCACAGCAGTGACAGCAAGAAAGTAACTCGGTTCAGGCCACCCAGCTCCAGAATGGAGGCAGAGCCCCAGCAGGGGGCCAGGTGCTGCCTTGTGTGTAACAAGCACAATCTTCTTGCCCTAAACCAGAGGCAACCTCCTCATCCAAGGCTCCATAAGCCCTCACTGCAGGCTGACTGCTCCTCCCAGCCTCAGTCACTTGAGACACATTGGACTTTAGAAGTTCCACATTAGCCAGTGTGAGTGTGGCAACATACCTGTGCAGAAGCTGCTCGACTCTAGAACATGCTTTATAAGGTGAAGGAAGCTAAAAACAGCAACAAGAGGGAAAACCCTTGGTAAAAGCAATAAAACAACAAACAGTAAAGGGCAGGTGTCCAGTGGGGTAGAGCTTTGAAAGCACTTCCATATTTCAGCCTTAAAACAATCCTGACCCATGTCAGCCTTAGCTGAGAAACATGGAGTTCAGAGAAGTTAAATAACTTCCCAAGATGGCACAGCTTTATAAGCTCAGGACAGGGACTCAAACTGTGGAATTTCAACTTGAAATTCAACGTTCTTACTACCACATTGGTTTGAAGAGGACAGAGAACAAAGACCAGGGAGATAAATGGCTAATGTTTCAAGATGAAGGTTAAGGATAGGAAAGAACTGAGCAGGATGTCTCCCTTAACACACAGTCACAGGCTCATACCTGGCAGGACACTTGGGTCTGAATGACTATCCTGTGAGCTGTGGCCCACAGGCCCACTGTCCCTCCACTCTCTCCTGCTGGCAAGACTCACCCCAGTGTCTTTTGGTTAAGAACAGTGGACATGCAGACAAACACTCCCTAACTTCATCCGAGGTGACCTGGCCCTGAGGACAAAAGGAGGGGTGAGGAAGGCCTAGTGTAAGGCCCAAGTACAATGACAGGTCCCCATGAGCCTGGGCTTCCCAGTGACAGCAGTGCCCTTGAGCCGGCCTCCCAGGGGCTAAGGTGGTCCAGTGCACTCAGAGACACAGAGACCTTCTGAAAGGTGGCCTCTGTCAGCACTTCCAGAAGGCATGAGGCACAGCCAGAAGGCACAGCGAGGCACAGCCAGCAGACAGTAACACCATCTTTCCAGGGCTTCCCAGGCCTCCTGGGACCAAGGCAGGGAGGTGGCCAGATGGCCAGGAGGAAGAACATGAATGAAGGCTCATAGTCTCAGAGCATGTGGGAACTGAGAGGATCCAAACTCAGGCTTGCAAGAGCCCATTAAAACCATAGAACCTTGCCCCAGAGAGGAGCGTGACCTCCCCAGAGTCACACAGCAAGTTGGAAGCAAACTCACGTTTCCAATACAGATGCAAAAGGCAAAGCTAAAAAATCTGGCTTCTGACAGCAGGTAGGTGAGTGCACATAATTGGACAAGAGTGAAGACCAAAGAAGTAGCCCCAGAAGATTCTGAGACAGAAAGAGAAAGAAAGTGAAAGAGAACTCATCATCAAAGAAAAAAGAAGCCAGAGCTTCAAGAGTTCATATATAACTCTCTGTCCTCAGTGGAAATATATTCTGGGGGGAAGGGGGCCCTAAGGGAGATGAGGGGACCCAGAGGATGGGGCTGAGATGCAGTTACTCATTTCAACAGAGTGGCCTCAGAAAGCAGTGAGGGCAGGGTCCACAGCTGAAGGGATGGGAGGAGGGGCAGGCGAACAAGGAGAGATGCCCCTGTGGAAGGCGAGGGGTGGGAGGGGTTCCCGAGGAGCCAGGGGGGAAAGCAGGTGAGGAGCAGAGTGTGACTGGAAGGCAGACCAATGGGGAGCTGCAGTGTCCCATGCGAGGAGACAGGGATCCAGGCTCAGGCAGGGAAGCTCCTGGTGCCCCCCACTCAGAGGCAGTGCCAGGCCTGTGGGAGTCAGCATGAAACCCCTGGCTCTGGGCCAGAGTGGCCCATTGCATTCACAAGCCACATGATTTGGTTAGGAAACTGTGCACCGATGACGCTCAGAACCAACTTCTCTCTCTTCTAGAGTGGAACAAAGCGTCAGGCTGTTCTCTAAGCCTCAGAGTAACGCTGAGGTCACTCTGTTGAGGCTTTACTTTAAGTACCGAGGGAGACTGGTGCCTTCTGTCAGGACGGTAGGTCACTGAGCACTCCCAGAGAGAGCCCCCCAGGGGTTCAGCTTAATGGCCCAGGAAGCTGGCCTGCTTCCAAAAGACGAGCCGTGCTGTGTGCAGAAGCACTCCAACATGGCCCCGTTCGTCCCTGGCCACCCTTCCCACCGACGCCTCCCAGAGGAGATGATGCCAGCATCCCTTGCTGTCCCTGCTTCATCCCGGCCCATAGTACCTTGAGGTTCCCTCGGTCTAGGGCGGCGGTCAGATGCTTGCGGACCTCGGTCAGCTGGGGCTTGGGGCCTCGGGGACTGGCCCCCTGCCTCAGCGGATGTTCCTTCAGGTACTGCTCCAGCTTCGACTCCCCCAGGAGGAGTTCTGCCATGTCATCTACAAAACAAAGGGAGTCACTTAATGGGAGCAAGGGACGGGTGGGCTGGGAAGGACCTGAGGACCCTGCTCCCCATGGCTCTAGCCCAGCAAGGTCCTCCTGAGGCCTCAGAAGTTTAGATGGGTCTAGTGGGCACTGTTCATTAGCAAGGAATGTACTGAGCCCTGTTCACTAGCAAGGAATGTCCAGCCGCGTTGGCCAAGCACTCCGTCATCTGCTGTCTCACATCTGCTGACTCCAGAGGGATGGCTACACATTAACATGGAGAGAGTCAAGTTCAGGACGGAGAAAACAAGGCTGTCTTTTGATAGGGGCTGGGTTGTGGCTCAGTGGTAGAGCACTTGCCTAGCATGTGTAAGGCATTGGTTCAATTCTCAGCACCATAAATAAATAAATGAATAAAATAAAGATTCATCGACATCTAAAAATTAAAAAAAAAAAAGAAGATACAGTATGATCTTACAACACACAAAAAACAATGTGACACATTTCCAAGAGTGGGCAGTGAGGTCTGGCTCTTCTGCGAACATGGACGTAAGCTGGTGGGAGAGCTCTATCTATCTGTACAGCTTCTACATTTTTTTTTAACAATACCGGGAATTAAACCCAGGGCCTCACACATGCTGGCCAGGCACTCCACCCCTGGCTCTTTTTTATTTTTTTTATTTTGAAACAGGGTCTCTGAGTCGCCCAGGCTGGCCTGGAGCTTCCGATCCTCCCCTCAGCCTCCTGAGAGCTGGGATTACAGGTTTTTCCACCACACCTGGATAAAAGTCAGGTTCTTAAAATGAGTTTGGATAAAAGACCTAGATTTAAGGTCTCTCTGTCTCAAAGTCAAAACTACATAGACACTGATGTCTAGGCATAGTCACAGAAGTTTTCACTTCTAAGATTAGTTACCACTTTGTAGCGTCTATACTGGCTGGTTGATTAGAATAAAAAGCTCCCCCCCCCAGGCTTAGCCCTTTGGAATTCCCACATCAGAATGCTCTGAATGCACCCACAGCAGCTCGGACACCCAGCTGAGCATGGTCTATTTTTCTGTGGTGGACAAAAAATAATTGTAACAAAATATAAAATCAGTTTTTAAAAAGTCTAGAAGAATAAGTCTCAAATCCACAATAGCAGTTACCCCTGGGGTACAGGGAAACTTTGATGGGGTGGCAGCCAAAATGGACTTTAGCATCACTTTTATTTAACACCCTGGTCCTAGAAAGGAGAAAGATTTGACTATTAAATGCAATTTAAAATTAATTCACACAACAATCCCTGAGGACCCACTACGAGTCCAGTGCTCAGTCCATCAAAGGCCCAGGGCCAGAAAAGCCTCCTACACATCCATGTTAGTCAACCCAAACTGCAGTCCACACGCCATAGAGAGCCCTGTCTGTGTACTGAGAAGCTGAAATCATATTTAGACACAAGACCTAGATTCCGGGAGGAGCCCACGAGCAGCAGAATAGGGCTGGGGTAAGTTACTGGGCACAGGAATTCTGAAGACAGTCAAGAATACAAAGCAAGTTTCCCATAAGGAGGAGAGAAGATCTGACAGTCAGCAGTAGCATCCAACCAGAGGACAATGAAGCAATGCCCACAGAAGGAACAGAGACATGGTGTGGTCTCTCCAGATGGAACCAGCCCAAACACCAGCCAGCTAGGAAAGCAATAGGCAGCATCCCCCAGAAACATGAGCCTTTCTTGAGAAAGGAAATCTCCTCCTATGACACTGTCCAAAGCCAGGATGTGTCTTACACTGACAGACTCTCTACAAATCTGCCACATTTCAAGTGGTCAGTAGCTACCAGTAGCCAATGACCATCACATCAGGTGAGAGTATGATCATTGCTTAGAGAGTACATCTAAATATTTATCTCTCTGTCTGTCATGACCCTATAAAGATATCTAAAATAATCTAATAAAAACAACAGGAATTTCTGAACAACAGAGTTGGAGATTTTTAAACTTTTCATCTTTGTCGTTTTAATTATTTATATTGAGCAAAATCATTTTATATTACTTTAAAATTGTAACTGTTCCTTAAAAGTTGGGAGTTTATGCGTGGGTATTAATCATGGCTATTTCTCCGATGTAAGATTATCAATCTATGCTGAACTTTTTTTCTATACATTTTAAATTTCCAAAAAATAAAATAAAGTAAAACAAAATGGAACATGGGATTCCAAGTACTAGAATCCCAGCTTGTGACTAATGGCATCACCTCGGTTTAGAGGACAATTCTGCCCATCTGAGCACAGGAGTTCTCTCTCCCCATTACCCCCCACGATCCAGTCCCTCCACCTGCCTTCCTGCTCCAGGACCCCCTGACATCACATCTGATGGGGGTACTGGGGCAGAATCCCTGCCCTGGAGGAAAACAACAGCAGTCCGGGATCCCTGCTCTAGCGCTGGAACAGGATGGCGTTTCTCACCCCTCAGAGCATCAACTTCCATCACAAAATGGGAGCCACGCCATCCAGACTGAGCCTGGAGTTGAGGGGTTATCAGAGGCAGGGCTACAGCTAGGTGGAGCTTAGCCCTCAGCCGGGCCATTATGGGTAGGAGGACCTGGACTGGCCAGCAGGAGGGGGGGGCACACCAGGCTCAGGGAAGAGCGCGACCTAAGCAGTGGTGCAGAGGCCCGGGCAGGATAGAAACAAGAGCCCAGGACAAGGCTACAGTGTGGAGCTGGAGTGAGGATGGGGAGACAGGCCAGTCCTCCCCTCAGCTGCACCTCAGGATGATGTCCAGGGCCCTCAGTGTAAAAAACTGGTACCAGCCAGCCGCTCCTCCAGCTTCACACGCTCAGCATCCTGGGAGCCATTCGCCACTACTTAAGGAACACCCACTGAGGCGCTGGTGGCCTCCCCCTGCCCCGGGAACCACGAGTACCCTGGCCTGGGTGTTGCTGATCTGTTTGCGCTTCTACACTGGAAGAAGAGGCTGAAGGAAGAACCCGTGTGCGGTTTCTTTCTGAAGCCGGGCTGAGCACAATGGCTGGCCCAGTCAGTGCCGATAACCAGTGGATTAATCTCATGACAGGGTTAGGCCTGCTGCATGTGTGGCAGCTACTAGCTACCCCTGAACAGCTATCCCCCTCTTCCTCTAGTACAGAGGCTACAGATCACGCTTCCCAGGCCCCTGGTAACAGATGCTGCAGGCAACTGAGTCACAGCAGAGGGGACCACAGCCATGCAACCTCTGGGTTGTTCCTCTGGTTTGTGCCTTGGCAATGAGTCTGGGCTAATGGACGATGACACTCCATCCTAGCCCACAGGATGGAAGCTACTGAGGAGGGCAGAAAACTGTGATACAGGGAGCCTTGGTCCCCAACACCCAGGAGCTGCCACCAAGCCCCGGTCTGCTAATGGTCAATTATCACATGTGCGAAACGTTACTTCTATCTGGTCTTGCGGAAGCCACTGCTACTCGGACTGTCCTTACAAGAGGCCAAGCTGATGTAAAGTGATCTCCTGAAGAAGAAACGGGCTTCCAGGTGAGATGGTCTGCCAGTACCGCCCCAAGTCCCCTGGCTCCCACACAGAATCCTGCAGCTCCCAACCGCACCCTTCAGGTACTATTCCTTGCTTTTTTGTTATACATGTGTAATTTTTTACCTAAACAAAAAAATCTCATAGTTACAAAGAAGTAAAAGACTGCTACCTGAGTGCTCTGCAGGATTCACCCCTCATAACTTCTCTGATCTCCTGACTCTGGGAAGGCACCAGTCTGGATGCCAAGATGTGGAGGGAGCCCAGCTGGAGCAGGAACACCTGGCGCGGGGGAGGGGTTTGCACTGAGAGAAGGGGGTTTTCCTCAGAATTAGGACACAGTCCCATACAGTCCCCGTCTCTCAGGACCACTCAATAGGATGTGGGGCCTAAGGAAGCTGAGTGTGATCCTGGACGGGGAGAAGGAGGCAAAGCTCTCACCAGAAACGTGCCAGATACACCTCTGCAAGGTAGAAAGTGGGGGAAAGGCCTTCCAGGCACACAACCAGGAGGCATGCCACAGCCTCCTCATTTGGGGAACTCCAAGTACTCTGTCAGAGCCAAACCCTAGAGTGCTGGGGGGGGGAGACAGTCGGGAGCCCTTGCCAGGTGGGTGAGGGTCCAGAAGGAGCTGCACCCTCTGAGCTTACGTTTGAGCTTGAAATCCAGCAGACTGGCTGTAAAACAGTTTAAAATTTTTAAAAATATCTAGGCTCCGATGTAATCTCCCAAGCAAATTATGTTTTATTTGTTCCCCTTCAAAAAAGGTGAATTCCCTTCCACTCAGACTCCCAACCAGGAGGGCAGATATTAAAAACATTATGAGCTCACGCCAAAGAAGTCATTCAGGGGCTGCAAGACTCAGTTCTAAAACAGAGAGTGCTGGGTGGCCGGACAGCATGCAGTGAGCTCTGATGGGCTGGGCTTCAGGGACTCCCAGTTCAGAATCCACTGGCAACAAGGAGCCGGCGTCGCTAGGCAGCTGCCTCTGCCAGCACGACCCGCTACACACTAGGACCCTGAGCAGGCGAAGAGGCATCTGGGATACATGAGAAAATTAATTCCAGTGGACTAAAAAATTAGAGGTACTATAGAAGAGGATCAAAATGGTAAAAGACACTTTTGTTTCCCACCAACATGGAGTAACAGGGACCAAATTCTCCCTCCTGTGCCACCCTCCCCTGAAACAACCTCAAAAATAATGTCTCAGAACATTGGGACTGGGTGACACAGAAGAGGCCCCTGAGGGCCAGGTGACACTCAAGGTAAGCCCTAGGAGCTTCCACAAGCGACCAGAATCAGGGACCTTGCACAACTCTGTGCACACAGACTCCAGGCATCTGCCTTTTCTGGCCTCTCACCTACACATACACAGCAGGCCCAGAGGAGCGCGGGCTAGGCTTCCACAGCTGCACGTGAAGCTGCCACCCTGAAAAGTAGGCTGGGCGCGTGACTTCCAGAATGGAGAAGCCCAGGCAGCATGACATACAGCAAAAGAGCTTTGGCCTCAGGCTGCTTGGGGCCTGAATTCCA